GTGCCCCTGGACCGGGGGCACTTCTTCCCGGCCGATGTGTACGCGGCATCGGTCATGCTCTACGAGTGTCTGACGCGCGCGGCCCCCTGGCCGGGCATGAACATCGGCGAGATCATGGCCGCGGTGCTTGGCGGCTCCCGGCCGGTGATCAGTCCTCTGGCCGGCAGCGCCGCGGACCTGGTGCAGGCCGGCTGGCAGGAGGACCCCGGTCGGCGGCCGAGCACTGCGGCCTTCCGCCAGCGCTGTGCCGCTCTGTTTGTGGCCTCCGGCGGCCTGGCCGGCCCTTGAGACGGCGATCCGACAGGCTCTCGCGCGGCGTGCATCACCCCTGGGCCGGTGTGATGGTGGTCCTCCTGACCGGGGGGGGGGGGGTCCCGGCATGGGACTACACCACCGGCGGTGAGAGCAAATAGACTGACTCTCCCCTTCGTCTGGGCATATGGATTCCCTGCTGTGAGACCCCCGCCCCTCCCCCGGAGGGGAGAGGGGGCGGCGGGGTGGAGCTGCCGTGGTGAGGGCGTGGCCGGGCCCGAAAGCCGGCCCCCTGACCGGTCGGCGGCCTGTCGGCGCGTCCCCTGTACGCGGGCTGACGCTGGTCCTCGGGCGAGGGAGCACCGGGGGGGAGGGAAGGCCACGCCTCCTGGCCGTGTGGCACTGTGGCTGGGAGTGTGTGTGTGTGTGTGTGTATGTGTGCCCGTGCTCGTGCTCGTGCTCGTGCTCGTGCTCGTGCTCGTGCTCGTGCTCGTGCTCGTGCTTGCGCTTTTGTTAGTGGGTGCGCCCCTGCACGTGTGCATCCACGCACGCGTGTCCATCCATGTGCATGTGCGCGCGGTCTAGCGTGCTTCTCCGTAGCTTGACGCTTGCATATGTCGTGGCCGTCCCTTTGTGAGAGCCGCCGTGGCGAGGCCACGCTTGGGAAGGCCACGTTTTGGATGAACCCCCGGGGAGCCTGCCACCGAGGCCACGGCGGGTGCGGCCGGCCTCGGCTCCTTTTCAGCTCCCGGGCGCAGGGGAGGGCGGCGACTTGGCTGTGCGGGTCTCCGGCATGCATGCCGCAAGCCGACGAGGTGCCTGTGGATCTTACCTGCGCCCGTGTGGCTATGGCCTTGGTGTTGGTGTTGGCACTTGCCGTTGGGGGTGTGGCCCCGGTGTGGGGAATGGGTTGCTGTTTGACAGGCTGCTCGGGGTGTCGGAAGGGGGGCGGCCGCATTGCCCAGGAGCCGCGAGGGTGGGGGCCCGGGGCCCGGGCCGGCGTGCGATTCCGGGCCGGTAGGCAGCTGGCCGATGTGCCGGGGACCCGCTTGACGGCCGCCGGCAGAGCGACCCAGCCGGCGGACGAGTGCCACCGCGCCACCTGCTACTTCATTGCCTTGGACAGGCTTCCACCCAAGTACCAGCGCCTCAGCAGTCTCGGCTGCTCGGCACCTGGTGGGCGATGCCGCGGTCGGCCTGCAGGAGGCTGCGACGTATCCCCCCTGCCCCCGGGAGCACCTCCGGGCGAAGTGTCTTTTTTTTTTTTTTTTGGCGCCCTCGGGCCCGGTCCGAGTCGGCACACTCGCCCTCTTGGGCAGGGGTCAGCAAGGAGGCGGAGCGAGCACGGCCAGGCGACGGTGCGCCAAGACAACGGCCCTACGATCACGGGCGCGGCCCGTGGCCATCCCGTCCCGGGGCATGGCAGCGGACCGCCCGGGCGAGCAGCGGTAAAGCACGTCCTGGTGACTGATGGGGTGTGCGCTTGGAAGGGGGGGACCGTGCCTATGGGCAGTGGTGCGGGAGGCGCGAGGCGGGCGCCGAAAGCCGGGCTCCTCTCTGCCCGAGGTCGAAGTGCGCGGTCTTGCGAGCCGGCCATTGGCCGAGGGGCCTTCAATGGCCGTGGCCGGGGCCGTGAGCGGGGTGGATGGCGGTGCCTGTGTCCGCGGACGGAGGCCAGCACCGGGCGCGGGCCAAGGGCTCGGCACACTCCCGGAACAGGCTGCGGCACCACTCCCCCAGCCTGGACCCCCGGGCCACACTCGGGGTTGCGACGAGCGGACGGCCGCGGTCCCGGCAGAGGATCTGGCAGTCAGGTAGGGAAGCATCCAGGGGCGTGTGGGCGGGCGGGGCAAGCGAGAAGACGGGCAGCCAGGCATCGGCCGTGATGCGACCACCGAACCCGGGTCTTGGAGGGGGCCCGGCGAGGGAGGGGGACATGCGCGCACGCGCGGGGTCGGCGGACCTGCTCGCCCGCTCAGGCACACACATATACACACACACACACACACACACACACACACACACACACACACACA